CGGCCAGGAGAGAAAGCGAGGGGGCTCGAGGGCAGGTGGAATTGCAGGAACATGATTACGCTGCTCGTGCTCGCCAGATAGAGCCCGTGGAGGAGACGATGAGACCATCCTCGGCGAGGAGAGAAAGCAAGGGGGCTGCAGAACAGAGGGCGTTGGAGCGGCTGGAGGGTAGGATGGAGAAGTTGGAGGAGTCCGTGCAGAGAGCGCTCGCGACTGTTTTCCCGCGCGTGGAGGCTCTCGTGAAGCGGTTGGAGACGTCGCCGTCAGGGGCGCCCCTTTCCCCCTCGGCCGCCTCCGCCTCTACTTCCTCCGCGCTTCAGCCGCCCGCCGCCAGGGGCGCCCTGGGAGCGTCGGCGACGGAAGAGGCAGACGACGAAGATCGCCCGAGGCAGCAGCTGTGGCGGCGTTTGAATGAGCTCGAGACGCGGAGGCGGGCTTCTCGATCATCTCCTTCGGATTTGGGGGAGGACTTGTGTAATGCGACCTGTGCTGACGAGGTCCGTTACCTTCTAGATTCCGGGGCTGATGTCAATTACACAAACACCAGGGGAAAGTGCCCGTTGATATCAGCCATCGATCTAATTACCGATGACCAATCGGGTGACGATGCTTCAGAAATGGTGTCGCTTCTTCTTGCCAGGGGCGCCGACGCGAACTCAATCGACATGGACGGCTCGTCTGCGCTGCATTTGGTTAGTGGCGGAGAGAACTTTGATCTGCTGATCGAGGCGGGGGCTGACGTGGATGCACGGAATTGGGAAGGGGCGACGCCTCTGCACATCGCTGTGGATTGGAACGACGAGGTCGCCGTACGCTCTCTAGTGGCAGCAGGCGCCAACCAGAGCCTTAGGGCTTGGAGTGGCCCATACGAGGATAAGAAGCCGGTTGATCTCGCGACATCTGACGACATTCGAGATCTCTTATTCAGTGACATTACATTGGGTTAAATCCTCAAGAGAACGCTTTACCAGCGTTACTATGTCTGCAAACAATGGCTTTCCATTGCGGGATCTTGTTTATCATGCGCCAATCGTCAGTTGAAATTTAAGCAAACTAGTGGTGCAACAGAAGGGCTCAGAGTTTCCTGTATTGGTTTTCTATTTCTTTTGGTCGGCTAGCTATTCGGACTTGCCACTTACTCTGTGCCAACTGCCGTCTATCGCCGTCCAAACTACATTGTTTTCAAATTTTGAAGAAAAATCGATTTCCTAATAGTAGAACCGAAATTATATTTCAACAATATTAAAGAATAGAAAATCCTTATCCTAAATGATAATTTTTTTTGAAGAATTTGGAGTCGTTTTTAGGAAGATGGCGTTTAAGCTCTATTGTAAATTCGAAGCTTCTCCCCACAACAGTTTTGAGTTTTCGAAAACATTCATTAGAAGCACTTTAACTAGAGTTTACAAATTGGAGAAAATGTGCATGTTAACTACGTAAAAGATGTTCAAAAAATACATTTGCGTGATTTAAAAAAACAAAACAAGAATACAGCAAAATGAATCTTAAGTCATCTCAACGAACGCAATTAGCACTATTCTATCGAAGAGTTAGAAAAAAAAATTGTAGCTGTTTTTGAGAAAGTGGCGTTTGTGAAAATGTAAAATTTTGAGCTCATTTGCACAGAAAACTGTTGAGTCTTCGAAAAACTTAATCTGACATTATATAAAGCACATGTTCTCATAAATACAATATTGTGAACAAATTGCCGCTAGTGTAAATATTAAAAATGTGAGAGGCAAGTAAAAAATACATTTTTGTATTTTTTGAAGAAGAAAAAAAAGAAAAGAACCGAACAACCTGATGTTTATGTCGCCTCTTAGAGTACATTTTGCACCATCCTTACCAAAAGTTTAATAGAAGAAATTGGAGCCGTTTTTTGAGAAAATCTGGTCTTCATTATTTTTTAAATTGCATATATTGCAAACAATGTTGCTCGAAAACGACGAAAATGTTGAAAAAACAAATGTACATTACGTCAATGAAAGTAAAAATTATGTAGAACAAATTTCATTTCAAGGAAAAATCTCTTCAACTTTGTAGTAGGAAGATGCCGAAAAAAAATTCGAAGTTTTGCAAGTATCAACAATTCAGTTATCAGTGAATATCGGACCTATGCCACCTTTATAGGTGATTTTTACTCTATTCTTACAAGAAATTTCCGTCATATCATAGAGTACATTTAGGACTATCCTAGACTAAATCTTAATGAAAAACTTTGAAGCAAGTTTTGAGAAAATTTTGAAAATGTCTCATGGGCTTCATATTTAGTATCCCCAAAAATTAATGAATGGTTTTCAAGATCGCACTGGTACTCAGCCCAAATGGGCAGGGGTTCATTCAATTTGGAAAAAAGCGTACGCATAGTTTAGGAGGTAGGACTGTTCACATATACCGGACGGAAGTTTTGCCGTCAATCGATTTCTGGGTATCAAGGATCCAGAAAACATGAATTCTAGCAACATCACGTACTAGAGTTTTTTTTCTTAATTTATCAACTGGATTTTTCTAATTTTTCGTTACCAGGGCTCGCCAATGAAATCGTTTCTGCCGAAAATCCGCCTAGGAAATAGAAACTAATATGGAAAGTCTGTAACATTCTGTTGCATCAAGTTTTATTTTGGGGAATTTATTCCTCAACAATATTTTGTCATGTGCATGCTTTTAACTGTTATTATAGTGTTTTGTTGACGTGATTGATCTATTATTATAGTTTTTGTTTTCAAGCCAGTGGTAGAACATGGCTAATTTTCAATAAATAAGAACAAGACATTTTACATTCCCTCCATCTTCAAACGTTTTGAAATAAAGCTACAAGCTTTTTTCATTTTTCGCACCAATATGTGCTATGTTCGAAAGAGACTACCTTGAATAGTACTTCTAAAGCAGTAATTTTTGGTAATTTTCCCCTTTCCCTTCAATAGTCAGAACATTCTTTTCATATGAATATTTTTAACTACGTTAATTGTTTATTTAATTTTACATATTGAATTACTTGTTATGGCGTTTAATACTCATCTCTAATGCCTAGTGGCTAGTACAAATACTAGGCAATTGACATTAATAAATCCTAATCAAATCGGTTAATTTCATCTACCTACCTTCCTACTTATCCTTTCCTACGTACATTGCTGAAATAAAAAATCGTTATATTTTAAAAAAGTACTTTCAAAATTAGCTTGAGATACGAGTTATTCGAGGACCTCTAAACATATTAACCTCGCAAGTTTTCTTAATCGATGACCTTGGTCTCTCTCTAGCACAATAAACAGTTGAAGGCAAAAGCTCACTTCGAACACTGATGACAACTCTCCAAACACATCTTCACTGCCGCGAAATAGAAATTATTTTCTGTTGAAGACAAGAAATTCTGTCCGAGGTTTCCTCAACAAAAATCCAAAGAAATGACCGAAGCACCTGAAGATCCATCACAAGAGATACCTCGAACTCTTGAGAAAATTAGAACACAAATTATTGAGAAAAGTTGCGAAGTCACGTCTGCTTCTCCAGAGATTGGCATTGCTTCATAAAATCTGGTGGTACCTAATGCCCCCTTACTTTGCGGATCGACTTCAAAACAAAACCTCGTAAAAATTGGCGAGTGACGTAATACAATACCACCGAGAAGGTGATGCTTGACGCCAAATCAAATGACAACTGACTGATGGCTCTGTATTCGTGTGCGTGCAATGTAAGATGCAAAACAAAAGACTGAACGTCGCGTCACGCGTTGCTAAGGGAATTAACGGTGGCAAATTTGAAAAAAAATTAACGCGATTGGACGCTTGCGGATCAGCAAGCTGTTCCGCAATTCTGCAGGGCATAAAATTAAGTTGCATTGCGGGATTTCACTTTGCTAGATCGCAATCCCTTGGTAACGAAAAACAAGATAAATAAAGTTGATAAATTATGAAACAAAAATACTCTACTACGTGATGTAACTAGAATTCATGTTTTCTGGATCCTTGATACCGAAAAATCGATTGACGGCAAAAACGTCCATCCGGTGTACGTGAACAACACTACCAATACACAAAGTCATAATTATAAGCCTTTTTTTTTCAGGTCGCATCAACATCTTTGTCATTAGCGTCCACTATTGGATTTACCTTATGGTAACTGTGAAGACCTGATATGGTGATAAGGGGTGAAAGGACGAACGCAAATATAACCATGCCCGAGGCAGGATTCGAACTAGCGGTCTTTCGGTCAGAGACAACTACGGCAATACTGCTTTACCGATCTCTTTAAATTAATGGCCTTAAGTATACATATGTATATATATATATATATATATATATATATATATATATATATATATATATAATTATGTTGCCACAAGTCTGGCTAATAGTTACCTAATTTATCTGTATTTATTAATTTTATTTAACGTCATTTTACACGGGGGTCGTGTCGACAAGAGGTCGGGGACTCGCAGGAAGAGGTTTCTAGAAAGCCATGGGGATTATACAGGTTCGGGTCACGTGACACTTATGTAAACACGAGTTATGAAACAAAATGCAACAATACAAAAATATACTTTATGGAATATACAACTATATCAAAAAAACATTCCACAAAAAAATCTAAAGGAATAAAAAAAATTCGTCCCTGAGGATTGTGCCTCAAATATATTAATTGTTATTGTAATAACTAGAACAAAAATTAAACATCAAAGTAATAAAAATGATGAAAAAATAATTAATCGTTGAGTAACGAAAATGTAATCGCAGATGCAATGGACGGGCGAAAAGGGAGGTAATAGGTAAAAATGGTGTTAGTGCCCTGTAACAGAAAACTAAAAATTATTCAGAGATTGTTAAAATCGGCCAAGAGAAGAGTAGGAGAAGAGATGGGCATTACCTTCCTTGATAACCCCTAACAAATACAAAATTTGATACATACATGAACTTATGTCACGAAGAATATTACGTAATAGATAACGAAATTAGGCCCAGTTCTAGATTGATATTAAGGCTGGGGAATTTGAATGGGTTTCCAGCGGAAGAAGCGTCACATGGTAAAAGCCTTTTTTGCAATATAACTAAATTCTCCGTAAGGGAGCAAAAGTAATGGTCAGGCAGGAGGCGACTTGAGTCAAAGAATGTATATTCGAAAACCACGTATTAACACCCGTGCTTTAAAAACAACAGTTTTCATTCTTGCCGAATGCGTGTAATCTCCCAAACTTCGGAAACAGTGATACGGGCATGGCGCATACGGGACAATCTATTGAAAACCGAGGCGATGGATTCAGCAGCAGATGCTAGCAAAAATTAAATAACATCCATTTTATATTGAACATTTCACGCATGGGGATATTTGAGGAAATCGCGATAAAAGGAAAAGTTCTCATCTGCCGCACGTAGGAAGTCCTCCATTTAAAGCAATGCTTTGCTAGCGGAATCCCACCCGGGCTGCTCGTAGCAAGCGTCCACCACCTAAAGACACCTCAGCCCGATCCCAACGCACGTGGGAAGACCTCCACTTAAACCAAGGCTCTGCTACCGGCGGTACGGTGGCTCGCTGCTGTGTGAAGGGACCCATACGCGCCCTGGTGGCGGCCGACGCGAACTATAGTACCGGCAGCGTATAAGCGATTCTGACAGTTCTCTCGCCACGTGCTGTGGTACGTCATGTGACCTGCTCTGGAGCAATCAGCTTGAAAAAGATTTATTCAGTCAAAAAATAGTAAAAACGGTTTGTGACGTAGGGAGGAGAATATTATCTGCGCACGTTTTCTTGAGTTCCAGAATCCCTTCCCGTCATTTTAACTATAAAAAGTTGAAAGATGAGTAAATCTAAAATAAATGTTAAAAAAGAGCGAGATTTGCAACATTTGAAAAAATAGTCATAGACATAGTCAATAGTCATAGACACGATCTTGAG